GTGGGTAGAAGGAAATTTGTACTTGTGTGCAAACTTTTGTGCACCTCCCCATGGCTGGCTTCAGAACAATATTTGGTCTCCAAGCAGGTTGTCAACCCAGTTTCTCAGCTGGGTAAGTGGCCAGCTCAGAGAGACCAAGGAACCCATGAGCAAAAATCATTGGAAAGAAATGTTAAAACAAATCATATTTTGATATGAACAAAACACAAAATACTGCAGATGCTGGAATCTGAAACAAAAGCAGAGAGAGCTGGGGAAATTCAATAGGTCAGGCAGCATCTATGGAGTCAGAACTGGCGAAGGGTCGTGGAACTGTGTTCTGACGAAGGGTCGTGGACGTGAAACGTTAACTCACTTTCCTTTCTCCATAGATGCTTCCTGACCTGCTGAGTTTTCCCAGCTCTCTCCATATTTTGATATGATCTTGCATTAAATTAGATCATCTCCATGTTTGATAATAGGCAAATGCTGCAGCAAGACATTTGTTAAAATATGATTGTGGATTAGAATTTGTAAGTTATGAGTGAAGCTATCACTTTAACAACAACGACAACAAGATTCCATTTATAAAGCGCCTTTCACGTCAGGAGGACGTCCCAAGGCGCTGCACAGTTGGGTCATGACCCAAGGTCAGATTTGTCATTCTATCATCTGGGGAAATTGTTTTCTCAGGATTCAGAATTATCTTTTGATTAAATGATCAGATTTAGTTAAAAGGTTGAAAACCTGAGACTATAACAACATAATGTACAGGCTGAGTGGACATGTGTCACTAGTGCTCTGTTGAGGATAGCAGAGGTATTTAATATGCTGAACAGCATGTGTAATATATAATAATGTGTAATGTAAGCAGGTTATTTAACTGTAATCACAGCATCAGAGAAAGTATAGAATTATAAAGCTTCAAATAACCTTAGAAATATAAGATTTTTTTACAGGAGTATGTATGTAGATATGTAGAATAGATGACTTCTGTCAAAAGCAGGTGATTTGGAAAGAAGTGGATGAATAGGTGGTTGAAAATGGAATTAAATGTTATAAGTATGGACAGAGATGATGAAATACTACAGGGAAAACCATGGTTCTTGTCCTATTGGAACCATGGGAATATCAGCTGTGGAATGTGTTAGTGTTGAATTATGTAGGATGTAAAGTTTGATTGATTTTGTGCAGTTTTCGTTTGATTATCTGGTGGGGAAGGAAGAAGCTTTCTGGAGTTTTTATATAATTGGAAGTTTTATTTGGACCTATTAACCTCATTCAGAAGATAAAGTTGCCAGCCAGGCTCAGTTGCTAGCACTGTCATAGCTGGGTCAGGGGTTGTGGGTTCAAGCTCACAGTCTCTCGGTTGATATTCCTGTACAGTACTGGTGGAGTTTCATATTCGTTTGAACGCAACATTAAAATGAGGTCTCACCTGCCTGTCTTCAGTAGATGTTAAAGATCCAATGACATTATTCAAAAAGAGAAGAGAGTTTCTCCCAGTGTCCAGGTTAATCAGTCATTCACTTAATTGCTGTTTGTGGAACATTGCTGTGTGGAGAATGGTTGCTGAGTTTGCCTAGAAAAATAGTCTCTCTAATTGACAGTAGTCACTATGAAGCTCTTTGAGATGCGTCAACATTATATGCTCTCTAAAATTTTAGTTCTTTTGAAGGGGAAGTGTCTGTGACGCGGCAATTTGTAGGCCATCTATAGTAGGCTCAAAGGAACAAATGCTCTTTCTTTATATCATAATTGCTTACTGAGTTCTTTGCAGCTCCCACACAGGGAAAGCTATATTGTTGTAATAAGCCTTTCATTTACTCCTCCCGTATCCTACAATAGCAAATATTTATCAAAGTTCAAGCTTGTGATCCAGTTAGCAGTTTTTTGAATGAAGACAATTGAAACCAGTGTTGTGATCAAATGTACTGTGAGCAGTGAAAGTAAATCACCATAAAATCTGAACTGGTGCAGTCAGATTACAAAATCACTTTAATGATTTAAAAGTCAATTTTCCAAAGCTTATAATTTGCCAATGAATGCGTTTTTATTTTTAATAAATTGTAATTTCAACAGTTTTCTCTGAAATAATAGTCTGTCAAGAGTACATCAGAGAAATAATATTCGTATGGTTCTATAATGGTCATTAAGCATGCTATTCATGTCCAAAAGACTACCATTTCTATAAAATTAAATGGGATGGATTCCTGAGGATTAGATTATAGCTAACATCGATCAATTATTTTAGAAAGGGCCGAGAAACATACCTGGAACCTATAGACCAGTTTTTGATTTTCTTCCCTCTCTCCTCCGCCTTATACTGAGCAATTGAGCATGTTGGATCAATGAGTTTAAACATCAGTTTTTGGAATGAGGATTTGTGGTTGGAAATCATAACTTGCTGTTAAAGAGAAGCCATGATGGATTCAAGAAGAGGTCATGCTTGATTAACCTGCTGGTGCATTCAGAAGTTATTACCAACCCAGTGGGCATTACAAATGTGGTTTATTGTTGTATAATTGGATTTTCAAAAGGTGTTTGATAAGGTTCAACATCAACAATTAAAAGCTAAAACAATTTGCATGGAAGAGGCAGCACCGTGCGATTGTCATAGATAACTGGCTTAAAGCGGGACATAGAGGACAGCCATGAATGGGAACTTTTCAAGTTTGATCTTTGAATTGTTGCTATATTTACTATGTGCAATTTATGAGTGACTTAGACATGACTATTGTGAACAAAATCTCCAAAGTTTGAATCTAACGATATGAGGAAGCATTGTAAATGGAGTCCAGGCGTCTTGTAGCGTATTGGTTAGAGCACTTGCCTCGCAAATGAGAGGACTTGGGTTCGATTCCCAGGCAGGGCAAAATGTTGGGCAAGTTTCCTTACTCCATACACCCTCTGTTTATCTAACATTAAGCTGGAACCCAGTTGTTAGAAGATTGGTGGATTGCTTTCCAGGGGTAATAATCCTTTAAAAAAATTGGTCAATCAATCCATGACTGTTTGTAACAGTACTGCTGTGTACAATTGGCCTCTGCGATTCACCCACAACGTGTAGTCAATTTACTTTGCAGCATATTCTGTGAAGCATTTTGAGATGTCTCAACGGCATGATAAGGCGCTATATCAAATGCAAAGATTATTATAAATAATTAGAAACAAAGCAACAAGTTCCAGAAGTATTTGGATCTTTTAGGTAACTGTGCCAGTAGGTGGCAGATGTGGTATAAAATAATTAGTATGGGAGAAGAGAACCCAAAGAGAGAGAGATGTGTTAAATGGAACAGCAATACAGTGTGCTGATTTTGAAAGAGACCCATGGATTATTGTAGACAGATCTCTGCTTGGTTACTATTTTTTAAAAAAAAACACAACTCAAGAGAATACAAACTGCCTCAGAAGGCCAAATTTGATCAATGCAAGATCAACAAGTTTAATGTTGGTTTTAGGGAACATATTTGAAATTGTTGTTTGAAGCATTTAATGGAGATATAAATACTTGGTAAGTAATGATACTAAAGGAACTGGAGAAAGGTGGAAAAAATAAGTTTGGGAAGTTGTCATAGACAATGGCATAGCAGCCTTGATTGTCCAAATGATCTGTTCTTTTGTTCCCATAAATAAGGTTTTGGGTTGAAGTAACAGTGGGATCAAAAGAAAACAAAAGTAGATGTATAAGATGTTGATCACACCCTATATGAAATAAGGTGGTTTCTGAATCATAGGATTATTGCTTTGAACAAGTTCCAGTGTAGGACAGACAAAATAATCCATAGTGTTGGGGCGGAGGGTGTTAAATTACATTTAACATAAATGCAGAGGAAGGAGGACGTGTTTGCTCTGGCAAAAGAGGAGACTGTGAGTTATCCAAGTTGAAGTTTCCAAGATTATGACAAGTATTAAAGTTAATCTAGGTCAATTCTTCAATGTAGTGATGGATCAAACTCCAGGGGAGACAAATTTCAACTAACAAAAGTTAGGAGTAAGAAGGGAAGTCTGACATGACTTTTGTTTTCCAAAAAGGCTAATAGGTTTGAAGAATAAGTACCATCATAAATGGATTGAAGAATCAACTAGAAGTTGCTATTCTAGTGGCCTTGATGTACACCACCTGCTCTACACTATGACAACAACACAATTACATTTGTATAGCGCCTTTCACGTTGCTAAGCCATAAAAGTTATAAATAATCAAGTTAGAAATAAGTATGGGTGTTAGAACATTCCAAGTGAAATTTGTTTGCCATTTAGAAAACTGGTCCTATTGAGTATTGATTGACAACACACAAAATGGTAATAAGAGCATTGTTTGGCAGGATGGTTGGTATATGAAGTGATATCACTGTTCTGAAATTGGGTTATGGCATATTGTTGTTGGGACAGAATAAATAGTGCTATAATCTGCATTGAAATTGAGCAATACTTGACCTGAGGGTATTTGACATTGAGTGTGTGATATTTTATTTACTGCGTAGTTTTGTGACTTTGATGATGTGGACTTACAATTGATATTCTCAGTTTAAGTCCATATACACTGAGAAGCAAACAGAATTTCTCATCCTATATATCAAAATAGGAACATTTTGTCAGCTCCAGGAGCCAAATGCTTCAACGTGATATGCATAAAACATTAAAGGGAAAAAGGCTACATTTTATTATAAAACCATCAAACTTCAAAATATTTGAAATAGCAATTTTTTTAACTTTCGTCCATTTTCTTCTGAAGGCTATTCCAATTCCATGGTTGCAATTAGTTCTCTAGATTCTTTCCCAATTAGTCATGTGTATGGGAGATGGTGAGTGTTGTCAGGCAGTTCAACCATGGAATGCATGACAGCCAAATCTAATCCTTCTCTAACCTCGCTTCCTTTTCAGTGACTATCAGGCATTTAAATGGATTAAGGTTTGGGAGTTGCAGTGGTCATGAATCCATAGCATATGATTGTCTATAATTAAGAAGGGCCAAAAGGATAGTTGGTTTGTGAAATAGAAAAGTTACTCCAAATGAAA